AACTTCCTCCCAGCAGTGTAATCCTGCCTTTTATTTCAGTAATGAGCCTTCCGATTGTCTGTGAACATGGGTATGACACTTCTGAGTGGCAGCAAGCTTTTCTTTATTGCTGTTGCGGCAATTAAGCCAGTACATGTCCCTTCCAGTATCCTTCTTTTGACATTTCCATTCCAGTCTTACACAGGCCTTTGCTGTTGCCGTGGCTAATACCTTGCGTTTATTTTTTAAACCAGCTGCTGTGATTACAACGGAGCTCTAGCTCATGACGGCAGAATCAAGGAAAACAATGCAGGAAGCTAGTTTATCTCGAAAATACGGCATTATGCCCTGCAACGCCAAAGCTCCTTGCTGTCTGCTGCCGCCTTATCTGGAAACAGCCCAGCAGTTGTAGGAATTTACTCCTCACATGGAGGATTACACAGTTGAGGAGAGATCATCTCAGCAGGGTGGCTCTGCAGGACGTCGGCAGGGTGGCTTCCTTGCCCAGGAGGAGCTGTGCTCAGCGTGACCAGGGGATGCACAGGGCCAGGGCACGCCTGAGCTTTGCATCAGCGTTTCCCTATGGTCTACCTGGCCGTCGTCCACACCGAAAGCCCCACTGCTCCATGGGCAAAGCAGGGTGAGCCCAGCAAGCAAAACTGTATCAGCAAGCGAGCAGCAAGGCAGCTTTCGTGTTGAGGTGGTAGGTGAGTCCAGCAGGTGCAGGATTTCTGGTAATGCAGGCAGGAGTAGGTTTGGTCAGTCTTTGATGACAATTTCTCTTTTAACACAGGAGGTGGGATTTCTCCTTCCAGACATGCACTGGAGGTGCCCGTGTCCATGCTCCTCGCCCTGGGGTCCCTTTTAGAGCTGAAGGAGAGAAATAGAAGTAGCGTCTCCCTGGGCGCAGTGTCTGCTGGGGTGGGCAGCAAAGGCAGCTCAGAGACGTGCCTCTCTGGTGACTCTGAACAGAGCCCGGTGTCCCAGCTGAAACATAAAAGGTTGCTTGTACATACCTAAAGGTCAGTGAGCAGGAGCTCCCCACTACCACTCTGTGTCCCTGGGACTCAGCGCTCTACCAGGGTATTAGAGCCACACGCATGCACATTCGTCTCACAGGGAACTATCAGAGCATCTTCAGGGCTTCCTCCAGCTGGATATCTTGGAGGTACATGGAAAATATACACTCTATAATTAAACTATATAATTATAACTAAATAAGGCTGCTTGCTGTTAACTGTGCTATTATTCAAGATAGGCCAGGGGCTCTCACTGTTGTAGGTGTATGGCCCAGAAGATCTTTGAAAGCTGCTCAGTGAGTCTAAGGGATGATGGGCAACAGTGCATACTCCATGTGAGCTGGGAGAGGGAGCCTGCAGAGGACCACAACAAACATGGGCTGGTCGTGTGTGCACACAAGCCCCGCTTGACTCTGCTTGCTGGAAAACTCGCTCTGAGGGCAAGCACCAGGAGCACAGGGGAGTGCCTATTTACTGAACCCCTGCTTGCTTTCTTTGCAAAGCAAACCTCTGCTTGCATTAGCAAACAGCAAGAATTCAGTCTCAGAGATGAACCCAACAAAGAGAAGAGTCTGCAGCCTCCAGGCATCTGGTAACCCTCTCTCTTTAGCCCAGATGAGCTAGAGCTAGCTGTGCAGCAGGACCAGCTCACCAAAGCCTGAGTAAACTGAGCTAGAGATTGTATTTTATCCTGGAAATGAGAGAGCTTGGCTGCTGGCCCTGGCAGTCGAAACTGGAGGGGGCTGGTGGTCTCCCTGCCAGAGAGGTGTGCTTCCCCAGCAGCTCTTCCACCACCACTGCACACTTGTCCCAGGAGGAGAAACCCAACGCTATCTCCCTACCGACCCAGAGGCAGCCAGCTTGCTCTGGTGCAAGCAGAGAACTCCCTCCGTGTCCTGCCCTGGGCAGGTATACCCGCAAGAGTCTGTCCTATAAAACCTCAAGGAACTGACCCCAGCTCCCCATCTGTCCTGTGGCTTTGGTAGACTTGGAGTCAGACCTCACATGAGGGTCCACAGTGGTGAGTTGGGCTCCAAAGGGCGCTAAATGCTTTCAGACTGCCCTCCACATAGGATGGCTTTTGTCTATCTTAAAAAGTAACATTTTCGTTAGCAGATAAGATTGTTAAAATATTCATAGGCAGGATCTTCTGGCACAGTCTGGTATTCATGAAGCACCACAGGACACAAGCTCTGTTTTTGCCAGAGTATCCATAAAACATCAGGATGCTCATTGGGTACAATGTACCCTTGTGGGCAAAATTGAAATTACCGGACAGCGGGAGCAACAGTGTCCAAAATGTTCTGTCAAAATATTTAAAGTTGAAGGTTGTTTTTTCTGGAGTGATTTCATCCTTTGACTGTTTTGGGATTACGGTGTAGGTTATATCACAGTCCTGTCTTGCTTCCCATAACTATTTATCTACTGTTACTCACTTACAACTCTCATCATCAAACAATTCCTAGTACCGCTTCACAAGCTGCGTTATGGCACCAAGAAAAAATCGGTTTCCCTGATAAGCAGTAGCAAACCTGGGGAGACAGTTAATTATGAGGGAGTTATTGTACATTATATAGTCATCCTGGCGCACAAACATACCACATTTCCCCTAATGCTCCTCAGATGTCACTGAAGATGCCAAGTCCAAGAAGGCCATCTAACCCATCTGCTACCCCCTACAAATAGCCCACGGTTCAGTAGCGCACCTGTTTTGGATGATGGTGCTTGCTGTGCACATGGGGACACATCCGGTAGCACCCTCCACAGCCCTGGGTGTCCTCAGGGAGACACTTCCTTACAACCTGGCCTGGATGGGGCAACCTCTGCCATAAAGAGCCAGGCTACAAGAAGCAATTCAGACTTGGTGAAACCAGCCCAGACAGCTAAAAAGGAATCTTTATTGTATAGGCCAGTGAGAGGAGACTCCCAAAGAGGGAAATGCAGCTCAGGTTCCTGATCCGTGCCAGGGTAAGGCTGTCCTTTGGGGCATCATGGCACTACACTGGTGCTTCAGGGCGAGTGCCAGGCTGTGCTACCATACAGATCCAGTGGCATCTGCTAAACGAGAATCAGACCCATGGTACAGTAAAAGCAGATGTTTCTACTGTATATGAAATAGTGATACCAAATTCTATACATGGCGAACAGATTTTTGGCAGGAGGAACTTTTTTCCACCAGAATGAATTCCAACATAAATTCACAGAGTCACAGAATCACCGAATGACAGGGATTGGAAGGGACCTCTGGCGATCATCTAGTCCAACCCCCCCGCCAGAGCAGGGTCACCTACAGCAGGTTGCACAGGATGGTGTCCAGGTGGGTTTTGAATGTCTCCAGAGTCAGAGACTCCACCACTTCTCTGGGCAGCCTGTTCCAGTGCTCTGCCACCCTCAAAGCAAAGGAGTCCCTCCTCATGTTTAGGTGGAACTTCCTATGTTCGTTTGCACCTGTTACCTCTTGTTCTGTCACTGGGCACCACTGAAAAAAGACTGCTCCCATTCACCTGGCATCGTCCCTTTAAGTATTTATAAGTATTGATAAGATCCCCCCTCAGTCTTCTCTTCTCCAGACTAAAAAGACCCAAGTCCCTCAGCCTTTCCTCATTGTAAAGATGTTCCAGTCCCCTAATCACCTTCGTAGCCCACTCCATTTTAAACCTTTCATTTGACTGTGGCCTTCCTGTCCCTCTCATACTAATCTTACTTGATGTCATTTAATTTAAACTGTGCCTGTATTTTTTGTCTTCGGGGCATTAGACTGGCTGCCTGTGACACCCTGGCAGTCAAACCCTCCCTGGTGTCTTGAGAAGCAGGTTTAAGCCTCTCCTGAAGTTCGGGACTGGGTTTTTCAATGTCTTTTTGCACCCCTTGGCACTCCCTGCGTTCGCTGTGGCAAGTGGCTGGTACAGACAGATCTTCACAGTGCTGATGACCAGACTTGAAGGGGGTATAGTGTCTGTGGAAGGGGAAGATGGATCCAGGCCACGTGCTGAGCACAGGCAGCGGCTGTCGGTGCTGCATGCATCCCTGAATGGCCCTGCACGGCACCGGCAGGTGGGAAATCAGGCTGTGGTTCCTGGTGCAGTGGGGTAGCTCTTCTGCTGTTACAGAGAGACAGTTAACAGGTTTGGCAGGGAAGAGGCTGCTGCCAGCAGGTAATTTCATAGAGGACAAGAGACACTGATGTACTGGGTGTGACACTGAGTGACACGATGCAGAACCAGATGAAAAAGTACAGCAGCCAAAGCCCAGGGTCATCACATCCAGAGATGGGCAAGTTCTGCGCAGCCATGACTTGGTACGAGAGACTGACAGGCAACAAAACCCAACAAACACAAAATACCTTGCTGTACACCTGAGCTCCTGACTCCACGCTGCTGCTCCGACTGACCCAGCATGTTCCCAGGTGCCACCGTGCCATGTCCCAGTGCATGTCCTCGCCCCAACGGGACTGGGCAGCTGCCAGCCGCCTCCTCCTGCTCCTGCCCCTGCTGCTGCCGGGCAGCTCGAGCCAGGTCCCACCCCTCAGGTGGCAAAACCCAAAATCAGGCTCCTGCGAGGGTCCTTCCAAGCCCTGCACAGCAGCTCACAGATGGGCACTAGGGTCCTGTGGCTGCAGCGGGAGTGGGGAGCAAGGGGCTTTGCTGCCAGCCCTGGCACCTCAGCGTCCCGCTGCCCACAGGGGTGAAAGGAGGAGGATGACCCCATGCTGTTTCAAGATGTCCACTGTGAAGGCTCTCATGGCAAAGGGTGAAATTTCACCTCCTGGCTTCACCTCTCCCCTCGCTCTTTCATTGCTGTCCCTCCCGTGTTTGCAGGCCCCCCGTGTTCGTAGGGCTGTTGCAACATGCTGAAACTTGTGTTCCTTCTCCTCTTTACAAGGTGTTTGCCCCTCTTTCCCCAAAGGAAAAGAAGAGGAGCAAGTAGGAAAAGAAACCCGTATATTTGCTGCAGACTCTGACTGTTTTGTGTAATAATGCTGCCTTTCTCTCCTTGTTTTAGGGAGTGCTGCCGATTTTTTGGAGACAATGGCTTGACTTTGAAGGTATTTTTTACCAAGGCAGCACCCTTTGGTGTTCTTTGGACACTCACAAACTACCTTTACTTACATGCAATAAAGAAAATAAACACTACGGATGTCTCCGTGTTGTTCTGCTGCAACAAAGCTTTTGTGTTCTTGCTTTCATGGATCGTTCTGAGGGACAGGTTCATGGGAGTGAGGGTAAGTGACTCCTTATCTCTGTCTCCCTTCTTCCCCCTCGCCCTTGTGCCTTTCCCTTTTCCCCTTCCCTCCTGCCAGCTGAGTGGAGCAGCACCCCACGCAGATGGCTGAGTGGGTGTAGAAGTCCTTGCAGAGCAGGGACGCATCCTTCCCTGCAGCCTGCCCAGGTGCCCGTGAGCTCCCAGAGCCCCCAGCACCCCCCGGCCTGCTGCCTTTGCCCATTTTCCTTCAGAAAAGTGGTAACTTGCTCCAGAGCATGGCATGAAGGATAGCTGCTGTCTCCATGTTGCCGTGGATGTGCTTCAGCCTTTGCCTGCCCCTTCAGAGTGACAATTCCCAGGCCGTGGCACCAGACCTAATTGTTTCTAATCGTACATTCCTGCAAGCCCTGGCTGCACGCAATGTGTTTCTGGTCCCAACCTGTGAATTTAATGTGTCCCTCGCCTTCCTTACACACAACAGCAGGCTTGCAGGGCGGCACGGTTATCCTTTAACCCCGTGTCAGTCAGCAACAGCTGCAGAGAGGAGAGCTGGGCTACCCTTCCCACCCGTGCCGAAGCGTGTGCGTGCGTCGCTGGTGGAGGATCACTGTAATGCGGGCATTACAAGAGAGGGTATCGGAAACCCCCACAGCTCTCTGCTGACCCTGCTGCCATTTTGGTGGCCCTCAGCATGTAGTGTCCTCTGGCAGCAGATCCGGGCAGGTGGATAACTCACCACCCCGCAGCCAAGGGGATCCTGCCAGGGTCAGGAGTAACTTCAAGGAAAAGGCGCCAGTCAGTCCCTCCTGCCTCACTGTACCAGCAGGCACTTATTAGTAGCAGTAATGGTAATAATACCTATTTTCCGCTCAACATTTGAGGAGCTCTCTGCTCACCCACCTGGGCAATGTTTTCAGTACTCAGAAGAGGTTGTTAACCTTCACTGCATGGAGCAACTGAGAGTTAACTTTTTGGGAAGTGTTCCTCTCCGGCAGGAGAGCTTGGCCAGCCTTGCAGTGGTGGCAGCCAAGAGGCTGCTCAGGGAATCGTTGCAAAATGTACCTGCCAAAAGCCCAGCCTGGCCAGCTGGTGTCTGCGCTTGCCCACCCATCTGCCCAGGTAGCCGTACCCTGAAAACAAATTAACTGGAGCTTTTGAGTACAGAAGTCAGGGTATCCTGAAATGATCCTGCAGGCAGCGAAGTGTCACTGTTGTCATAGCTGGACGTGCTGGACATTTTGATAAAGGTAAAAAACAAAACACCATATTTTTGTGATCTTTAGCCATCTGGTGGCACTGTCAGCTGTAGTGCTGGTGGGACACCAGGAGAGGAGGTGTGTAGAGGGCTGACCGCTGGTCTCCTGCAGGTGCAGCTTGCCCCTTGGTATGCACGTGCCATCTCTCACCACTGGATATGGCTGTGGTCTGAGGGGAAAGAAGCCAACCTGCATGTAGGGATACCTGCACCGGCACACACACGCTGGAGTAGAGATGCTTCTCATGCTCTCCTGGGTGCATGGCTGCGTGGGAAGAGCCACGGTGATCAGGGCTCTCCTGGCCAGGCTAGGTCTTGTGTCATTGCAGATGACACGTGCTGGGGGACAAATCCTGCTCTGCATCTCCCCCTTCCCAAAGGGGCAGAAGGAGTGGAAGGAGCAGGAAAGCAGACCTGGTCTCAGCCATGTTCAGCTGTCCTTCATTTCTTATCAGCACTGCCCTGGGAAAGGCTGACTCACTCAAAACCCAGCAGCAACGAAGCAGAGACCCAGAGCAGGGCCAGGGCAATGGAGACCGTGTGATGCTCCTGCCACATGTCCCAGCCCCTCACTGTGGAACTTGGCACTGGGAAGGGGTGGCAGGGGTTGCTTCTTGAGAAGCCACCTCCATGCCAAGGAGGAACATGACCATCTCTCACCCCTGTGATGGGCCAGCAAGGGGCCTCGGCGCAGGGGGAAAGGGCTTGCAGGAGGACTGGGTTATTTGCTCCCGGACAGACATGGATCCTGGCCAGTGTCAAAATGTGAGTGGGGACATGCTTGTCCCTAGAGTCTGGCAGGGCATGTGGCAGCACAGCAGCCCTGCTGCCCAGCTTCATGTGCCACCATGGGAGTACTGGGGACGCTTCTATCTGCAGAGGGATGTAGTGTGGAGTCTCCTGGCAAGATGCATTTTCTTCCCCTTTATCTCCCTTTTCTGTACAGCCCATGTGAAAAGCAGCAGACATTGAGGGTGGCTCTGCCTGGCGTTCTGAGGGACAGCCTTGGGATGAACCCCAAAACAAAGCCTTCTTCCTGGGACTGGCAGCCAGGAGGGGAGACAGCTGCTGGGGCTTCTCCAGGAGCACTCTAGGGACTGCGAGCCAGCACAGAGCCCGGCCCCAAAGCTCGCAATCTGTCGGGGCCACGCTGTGTCAGAGCTGCCGACCCTTTTAGAAGCACCCTTTGAGAGGGTGTTGGGCAGACGAGGCTGCAGGGGGGATGGTGTCTTGCCCTGCGATGGGAGGGCTCCCGCTCCATCCCCTCAGTAGCGCAGCAGGACGGATCGTGCCGCAGCAAAGGTCTGACTGCACATTTGGGTGTCCCTGTTCACACCTGCTGCAGGAGAGGCCGGCTGAGAAAGGCAGCATCTCAGTGGGGTTTAAGCACGTACAAGTACCTTACTTGGCCTTCAGAAGTGCAACTGGTAGCTCTACAAGCACTTAAATCACAATTTGTCTGGAATTTAAATGTAAGAGCAAGCTACAAAATCCCATCCTCACCGCTCAGGCACTTGTAAGTGCCCGCATAGTTTGTAATGAAGTTGCGTTTCTCCCCCTCTCCCCTCACTGGGCATAGAGCAATGGTCCAACTGGGCTGCAAGCTGTTGTATTGCTTTCAGAGGAGACACGTGTGTAGGGAGGCTGTGAGTGCGTGCAGCGTTGCCTCTGCAGGCCCCACGGAGCTGAGGCATTTGCAAGTACCCACAGGCCGGTAGCTGTGGCGTGGCGCGGTGCAAGCAGCCTGTCATTGCTGCTAACGACGTGCTTGATAGACAGGCTGAAAGGCTTCCAGAGAAAGCCTATGTGTCGTGCCTGGCGTGTGGACAGGAGGGCCGAGAGGTGAGGCCAGGACTCATCTGACAGTCGTGACATGCTTGATAGGAGAGGCGAGGACCTCTGCCCCAGCAAAACTGTTCGCAGGCTGCATTTATTTGCTTTGATCTTTGACTTTAGTGCTTCCCTCCATGCTACAGTAAATAAAACAGCTCAGAATCCAAGAGAGCCATCGCTTGCAGGTACTTCCATTGTATCTAATGTATAGACAAGCGTACCTGCCAGTGGGACATGGAAGTAACTATACTATCAAACCCCAAATCGTAGTCTTCCTTTCCAAGCAGGCAGAGACCCAGCCTCCCGGGAGGTGCTCAGAAGTCAGCCAGCCCCTGACATTAAAAGCAAAGCTGGATCCTTTTCATTCCGCAGTTCATTAATGTGCCCTCCAAGTTCCCACTGCAGCGGAGTTGGAGCCGCCAGCGGGGGCTCAGGCAGGTTCCCTTCGCCCACGCACATGGAGGTGCCGGCTGGTTGCCACAGCCTGGCTCAGGGCTGTGGTCTTCCCCCAGGCTCAGGCTGGACAAGCCCCACACATCTCGGATGGGAGACAGCCACCCCTGGAGCAGACGCTGCAGGAAACATTGCATCTACCACTCTGTCACCTGGGCTGTAGCACAGGGGACATGGAAGGGCTGGAGTCACCATTTTTCAGATAAGCCCAAGCCATGTAATTTGCAGCTCTACAAAGACCCACACTGAGTCAGAGCAAAGGTGCATCTGCTCCAGGAGCGTGGCTCCAGCAGCTGGCTGTAGTGGACACCTAGAAAAATCTGCCTAAACAGGAAAAGCCTATAATGATATTTCCTTATGAGACTTTCCAGCCTCGAGCAATTTGAGGCTCGAGGACTTCCTGAGATGGAAGTGATGTTCCTATAGTTAATAGTCCTTGATGGATTTTTTTCTTCCATGAGTTTATCCTTGTAAACTTTTCGCATCCACAGTGTGCAACAGCAAAGCTGTCCTTGGTAGAATTATATGTTGGGTGAAGACAAATCTCTTTTTCGTTATTCTGCACCTGCCCCACGCTAGTCTCATTCAATGACCTTTCTTTCTTGTCTCTCTGAAGCCACGCAGAGTGTCTGCACTTTTATTTGACAAGCACCAGCACGCTGACATGAGCAAACTGCTGAGGGCTGCTGAGCTCCTTCAGTCCTGCCCATCTGAAACAGCCCCACGTTGCTGTAGAGCCACACATCGGGGTTTTCTTCCTCTCTTTGCCTAAAAAGAAGCCTGTCCAGCACAGTAGGGCCCAGTTACACCACCGCCAAGCTTTGTTTTAGAAACAATACGCCACAGCTGTGCATGGAGAGATCCGATGCCCGCGGGGCTACGAGCCGAGATGCTGTAGCTGAACCTCTCCAAATGTGCAGGGTGCAGACGCAGCCTTGGCAGCTCCCACCGGGCTCCGCGTCTTCAGAACCCGCTGCCCCCCGGCTGGGCCCTGCGGGGGGCTGAGCAGCCAGGCGAAACCCTGCCCCCCTCTATGCCCTGCTGACGCCGTGCTCATGCAGCATCTCAAACAGCAGCACAGCAGTTTCTCAACTCAAGCCCCTTCTTGTTGAGTTGCTATTAGCAGCTGTGTTTTCCAGGCAGTGTCAGCTTCTGCTGATTTGGGCTTTTTTCTGCCCTTACGCCACCCTGACATTCTACAGCAACACCTTTGGAGAGATGGATCCCCTTCTCTTTGCAAAAATGGGGCATGTTTCTCTTAGGGGGAATTGGAGGTGTTGATGTCAGCGTGCAGGAGGGAGCTGCTGGGTGATTGTCCACAGAAGCTTATAGGTGCCCCCCAGCACCAGTCCCAGCTTAACCCAGGGAAGAGGCTGCTGGTGCTGCCAGGATGGGGATGTGCAGCTGGTAAAGGGGTCCAGCGCACCGCAACTTGCTCTTCGGGTGGCAGCAGAGCCTGGCACACAGGCTTTCCCCCTGCGTCTTCACAGCAGCCCCAGCATCGCTGGCGGTGAACAGGAAAGGTGAGCGGAGGCCATTGCTCTTGGATATGTAGAGAGCCGCAGCCCATGGATGGGGCTTAAAACCCCAGTCTGGCACTGGGAGAGGGGACAGTTGGCTGGCACTGACCAAGCTATGGGTGAAAATAAAGTCAATTACCCCAATCACCTTAGAGGCACCACCATGACTCTGCAGCCAAAGGGGATGTGGTGTAAGCAGGGCGTTCCTTGCACCACTGCAGAGCCAGGAAGCAGGGAGCGTGCAGAAAGCGCTTTTCACCCCAGAATTACCACCTAGGAAGGCTTGAGACATCTGGCAAGACAGTCCCAGGGAAGCCAGGGGTCTCTTGCTGACCCTGCTGAATCAGGGGCAGCCTGTCCCCTGCATTTGTGAATGCTACCTCCCTTTGGAGGAGCCCCTTTAGGCGCTGCGGAGGGCCTGGCTGGCTGACTAAGCCTCCCTCTGCTCTCTAAAATGACACATCTGAACTGGAAAGCAGTTGCATGAGTTTAATTCCCCTGTTTATTTCAAAAATCTTTTTCCTCCAAAACCTCCGCAGGACTCAAAGCCTTTCCTGCAAGCGCCAGGGAATTATTACTTGTGCATTACTGGCACGCACAGGCTGCAGGGACTCGCTGACGGGGAGGCTCGGTGACAGAGATGAAATCCCCCCTTCAGCTCAGTCCGAGACCTTGAGCGCTGCGGTCTGGCCCACCGCACACCCCCACGGGCTCTGCAGCCGGGGAAGCTGCGTGGAGAGGCAGCATCGGCTCCCTGGGTACCCGCCTGGGCTTGCTTCATTTTCTACATAAGCAGGTGATGCAGAAGTACCGCCCTCTTATTTAAAGCTGCTCTCATGTTTTTCCACGCTGGGGGTTGTCCAGTAACATTTGCTTTCTTTCTTTGTCTCCAACCAGATTGTGGCTGCTATATTTGCTATTGCAGGGATAGTTATGATGACGTACGCCGATGGGTTTCACAGCCACTCCGTTATTGGGATAGCCCTGGTGGTGGGCTCTGCCTCAATGTCTGCTCTCTACAAGGTAAGCACACCTGGATCTTCCCCCGCCCCCAAAAGATGCGTCACCCCCGTCACCCACTTCAACTGCTCCTGTCTTACTTGCAAACCTCCATGCCGTTCAGTGCCACGTGCCTTTCTTTGAGGGGCTCTGCCGTAAACACACTGACTCTGCAACACTGCGTTCAGGTATTCACTTGCTTTGATGTCTGCCCTCACTTAGGATAAAAACTCCTCCTTCCTGGGAAGAGTCCTCTCCAGTACCCCCAGGAGGGCTTACAGATGCCCCACCTTCTTGAAAAATGAGGCCATTTTTCCATAGGTGCTGGATTTAATTACTCACTCTGAAAGTGCCCTGCAGAGATTTAGTTTCTTTGTCAAGTGACTGCGTCACCTCCCTTTGACAGGTCTCCTGCAGTAGCACATGTAGCCTCTGCTGGGCTTAAAGTATTGCTTATCATGGAAGTAATGATGTGCTTAAATTCCAAAGCACATGCCTATGAATCAAGGTCTCATACTGACCGCTGCCGGGTGCGCTGCACTGTGTGTAAGATGACGTGCAGCCTTCTCTGCTGGGCAGAGAGCCGTTTCACTCAGCTTGAGACACGTATGTGCATTTGCCTCTGTCTTGCTCAGGGCACTCAGCATCGCAGTCCACAGAGAGGAATAAGCACTTGTAGGGTGCAGTTCACCCACCCCAGCTCGGATGTGGAGACTGGGATGAGGTGTAGACGTCTCCATCTGGTCTAATGAATTGCACCGTACCAGTCCTCCCAACACAAACCAGCCAGGCGAGCCCTGCAGCCTTAACACAAGCAATCCAGGGAGACTCACCAAACTGAGCAGCATCTGTCTGTGTCCCTCAGCGCCGTGCTGCAATGCTTTCTGCTCATTATTTCAGATCAGCCTATGTCTTACAAAAGGGAGGTCATGAAGTTTTATATAGCTTTTTCCTTTAAAACAGCATTTCCTTGCCAGACCAGAGACATGGCCCTCCACACCCAAGGAAGCGCCATTGCTCTGGAGTCATCTGCAGGCAGGGAGGGTTAGCCAAGGCTAGAGCCTAGCTCTGCCCCCTCTCCCATGGCACCACTGCTCCATGGGGGGTACGGGGGTCTCGGGGCTGCTCCACCAGTCGCAGGCAGAGACAGTGCACGGGGAGGTGATGGTGGCAGTGCCGGCAGGGTGTTATGCTGCAGTGCGTCCTGCACGCACGTGCAGATGGAGCTGTGCAGCTTGTGCTGCAACGAACAGCACTCTGCCGCTGCTGCTGTCACTCTGCTCTTGCTTTCCGCAGTCTGGCTCAGTTTCCATGAGTTGTGCGTGCCGGGGAGGCAGGCAGACCTGCAGGCACATGAGCTGCGCCATGTGCAGCGGAGTCACCTCAACCTGCCTTCCTCCCCCAGACACGGATGCTTCAGTCTGCCTGTGCCGGCTGCCCACCCTGCTAGGGGCAGCACGCCGGTCCTCCGGTGGCAAATGAGGAGTAAGTGGCTTTCGGGATGGTTTGCTCCATTGTGCAGAGCCAGTGATGCAGCTGCGCTGGTCGGTGATGGCTGCGAGGTGGTGGGAGCGGGCAGTGGCCCCAGCAGTACCACAGCCCTGTGGACTTGCCTGTGGGGCTCTAGTTAGGCAAAAGGAAGAGACAACTGATGCTGGCGAGGGGGCCTGCCATCCCAGCACAAACCAGTAAGTCAGAGTCCATTGGCTTTCCTGGTTTGCAGCCCGTGGCAGGGGAAAGTAGTACCCAGAGCCCAGGGGATCCACCGGATCCTCTGCACTTCTGTGGTGGAAAACTGATGCAAGACCCCAGACCAGACCCATCCGCGGGGGCTCCCCAGGTGGGCCACTCACATCTCTCGTTCCCTCTTTCTTTATCCTTTCTCCCACTGACAAGCCAAAGCTTTTAAATCCCTCCTGGCAGTCGCGTTAGTCAGGCTGCAGCTGGGCTCTGGGCTGCAGGGCTGCTGCTGGGGAGGAATTCCCAGGGAGAAAAGTGGTCCAGCGCTGGGACCATGCACTGGGAGCACGGCAGTGCTCACTGGCAGGCCATGGTGCACGGAGGGACAAGGAGCGAAGACAGACGGGCAGCATGGACTGTGCTTGCTCACCACCACAGTGGTCCTCAGGTGGCAGCTCAAGGTCCGGACCAGTGATGCGTCATGCAGGGAGATCACACCTATTGCTTCCTCTCCTCCCCCCTGCCCTGCTCCACCAAGTCTTCTGGTTTTAGTGTCAGATTTTCCAGAGCTTTTCCTGAAGGGAGCAGGCAGAAAAAAGACTGGGGGGTCTAGGCTAGGGTGAGCACCTTTCCCTTTCGGGAGGTGCACGGTCAAAGGTGCAGAGTCCCCTTCCCGCATGGGCGCACTGGGCAGCTGCCCCTTCCTGCGCTCCAGGGGGGTGCCAGGAGGGAGAAGGTTGGGGCACACGAGCTGCTCTCCACAGCTTCACGAGCAGCCATCTCAAGTGTCCGGCCAGCATCACAGCAGAAGTGCTGGCTGACACCGCTTGGCACCCAGCCCCTCGGCCCCAAGCACTGCTGGGATGCCAGGATGCCAGGAGCCACTGAGTCCAGGACACCAGTGTCCAGAGGAGCGGTGCAAGAGAGTTAAACCCATGTGTTTTCCTTTTGTAGGTTTTATTCAAACTTCTTTTGGGCAGTGCTAAATTTGGAGAAGCTGCCTTATTCCTGTCCGTGTTAGCTGTCTTCAATGTCCTCTTCGTTACCTGTATTCCCGTCATCCTTTACTTTACCCCAGGAGCCACTGAGTCCAGGACACCAGTGTCCAGAGGAGCGGTGCAAGAGAGTTAAACCCATGTGTTTTCCTTTTGTAGGTTTTATTCAAACTTCTTTTGGGCAGTGCTAAATTTGGAGAAGCTGCCTTATTCCTGTCCGTGTTAGCTGTCTTCAATGTCCTCTTCGTTACCTGTATTCCCGTCATCCTTTACTTTACCAAAGTGGAGTACTGGAGCTCTTTCGACATCGTTCCTTGGGGAAACCTCTGTGGATTTTCGATTCTCTTATTGAGTGAGTAGACAGGGGGCTCTCACACTGCTTGGGGTGGAGGAGGGTGCCAGAAACTGGCTGCTGGTGGAAGCTGCCGACCTCTGCCGTACTGGAGCTGTTTTCCCTTCTTCTCAACCTAATTATTAGCTTGAGAAATCATGCAGAGGGTCCATTCCTAGGTGGCAATGTAGACTCCACTTCTGCTGTTACTACCAAAATATTGTGGCCCTCATTAGAAGGTGCTGTGGGACTAAACTGTAAAGCTTGTCCTAACTCCTGCTGGTCAACTCTGCCTCTCAGAGACAAGTGACACTCGCCCGGGCTGTGACGGGACACAGCCCCACCGGCAGGGCATTACCTTGGGCTCATCAGCATCCCCTGAGCAAGCAGGTTAGGCCGGGCCAGTGAAGGCCAGCCTCTGGTGCCTCTGCTGGCTTCAGTAATAGCCAATTGCTATCCCTAAAGAGCAGGAAACTTTTGAAAATGTAGCGTTGCAGAGCCCTGATGGGAATTTGGTAGGTGGCACTCCTCTGTTCTGCTGCCACTGCTGTGCCACCAAGGGAACCCAGCTTGGGAGAGATGCCAAATCCAAACTTTAATGATTCATGGTCACCAGAAATGTGATGCTGTTCCTTGCTAAACTAGATGAGTTGACTGTGCTGCCACAGTTGGTCCCTACACTGGATGACAACATGACATCTCCTAAAAGATCCATTTCTTCTGGAAATAGCCCTTTCCCATCCCCATTTTGAGGCCTAGCTCCTTTTACCCTGAAGTGACAACGCCTGACTCTAGAAGTACCTCCAGTTTACTTACCAGTGGGCTCAATGGAAGTTTTCTGCAAGGAAGTAGTGCAGAACTTGGCAAGCGATCGCTGGGGTGTGCAATGTAGAGGTACGCCTAGAAAACAGTCAGAGCCCCAGCTGCTGACAAGTTCGGTATTGGCAGGGCTCCCCTGACTTCGCTAAAGCTAATCACCTTAGAACAAGGGTGAATTTGGTCAAAAGCAATTACTAATTTGTCATAAGACACTCCACAAACAGCGTGTGATATTACAATGAAGTGATACTTTAACCATTCAGTTGTAATGGTATTATAACGATGTTATAATTTTATTGTATGAAATTATATTTAGCAAGTTCCTGTCTGGAAGAGGGTTAATTTTACAGCATCTTCCACCTGCAGCTGGAGGCAGTTTTTCTAAAAAAAAAAAAGTATGCAGCCAGAAGCCACTGTTTGGCTGAAGTCTGCCAGGTGAAAACTGTTTAGCCTTTTTCGGCAGGGCAAAGCGGATTGCTGTGCAGAGCGGGAGTCACTGCACATTACACTGAGAGACAAGTCGTACCTCCCCCCCCCACCCCGATCCTCCCGCTGGACTCCAATGGGATGTAAAATCCCCTGGGAACAGCGACGTCTCAGGGAGACGGACATGCAGCAGGCAGACGTCTGGCCACAGGTATCTTCCAGGAGTAACAATAGAAACTAATATGCCTTCTATATGAACAACATCCAGAGGGAGTAATAAAGCAGAAATGTTTCAAGTGACAATCCCTCTGCCTCGTTTCAATGTAGTAAAAGGTGTTTTTCTTTCCTTCCTCAGCATTCAATATTCTACTAAATTTTGGGATTGCTATTACCTACCCCACCTTGATTTCTCTTGGAATTGTACTGAGTGTGCCAGTGAATGCGGGTAAGGATTTCTGCCTTGCATCTTAATGAATACATTAAATCTGTGGGCTTTCAAATACACAACAGGCATAAAAGCAAATAGCTTTATTAAACATGTTTTGCGTCTTCTCTCAAAGACTTACGAAGATGACACTGATTAAAAATGTATACTTTATGTGTTAAATATGTACTGTGCAATACTACGTGAATGGTCATAATCTCTAGAATTTCTTTTTAAATTACTGTCTGAAGAAGCCAGCATACTGAGAAGGAAACTAGATTTGAAGTCATCCTTCTCTGGGCTCAGATGAAAACTCACGGATGAGTAGAAATCAATTCTTAATGATTTCTTCAGGGCTCTTCCTAACACTAAACTGAAACAAATAAAAGCGGTTACATTTTAGAGCAAATATGTATTAGTAATTCTGCTTGCCTTGGTAAATAACATTGCAGGTGTTTATCAAGAACACTAGACAAGGTGTTTGTGGGCATGGCCTGCTATGCCGTCGGTTTTCTGAGCTTTAGTGAAGGCCAAGAAGCTGCAGAGCCCGGGAGGGATGGGCAGGGGAGCGCAGGGACAAACCTGGCCCAAAGCGGAGCCACCTCTCCCCAGCCAGGCTCCTCAAACCCAGCGTGCTGAACTGGTGCAGGCGGCAGCTCCCAGCTTTTTGCTGACTGCACGCACGCACAGCTGGGCACCGCTGGCTGCCCCGGCAGACTTTTGTACCAACCGGTGTGATCCCCACCGACGTGTGTGCACGGCTCGGGGTGTGCAGGGCTTCTTATTCAGCGGGGCAGGCAGGGTGAGCAGAAAAAATCTGCACAAAGGAGCTGCTTTGCCAGGGAAAAGAAATGCCCCTTTCTCTGCGTACCTGACCCTCAGTGCGGGTTCCTGTGCCGTCGGCGAGCCACGGAGACGATGCTGCTGCAGAAAACAACTGCAGCTCCAGGCATCGTCCCAGTTTGCAGACTGAGCCCACAGGACAGCTCTGACTGGGGCCGTACCCTACTGTGTGCTAAGCCAGCAGGAAGGGCAGTCTCCCTGCCACCATCTCCTCCGTGGTCATGTTCTCCTGCCCCGGCCAGCCTTCAGACCCGGGGAGACGAGTGGGGAGGAAAGGGATACTGCCCTAATGCTTTGTCTCACATAATAACACCCGTTCAATGTCCCACACAGTTGTTGACCACTACACGAGTGAAATTGTGTTCAACAGTGTCCGAGTAATCGCCATCATCATTATTGGCCTGGGCTTCCTCCTGTTGCTCTTGCCAGAGGAATGGGACGTCTGGGTAATAAAGCTCCTCACGCGTCTCAAAGTCCGGAAGAAGGAAGAAATCCCCGAGGGGAATGGAGACATTGCTTCGGGACTGCCTAACAAGAGCCGGAGAACTCGCCCCTCCATGTCATCCTTTGCTCATTAAATGCTCTTTTTACCAAAACTTTGTGGTTAACCTTATATATGATGACGCAAAGGTCTTTTCTTGGGAAGAAGCACACCTGTCCAACACGGTGTACATACCTGTACAGTTTTGATATGATCACCATCTAAGGCATCGAGTCTTGGCATGTCCAGTTTGCTTGTACTTTTTTCACATCAGACCTTTCACTTAAGTAGTACACTGAAGAAAAAAATCTGCAAACCAAGAACCTCTCTTCTCTTTTCAAATGAATGTAATATATAGTCAAAATATATTATTTGCATAGGTTATTTTAAAGAATGATTTTCATGAAAAGCAGGGCAGACATTTTGAACATTAGGTACCGAATGATGCATTGCACACTGTGATTTAAAAGAAACAAATGCTATGCTACATCACACGTTTATTTTTGACCAGAGCTGTACTCTAAAAGTTTTCAAGGAACCAAAAGGGAATCTTTTCGGGGACAGGAAGATGGGGGAAAGAGGAATGAGAAGGGAATAAAGCACTAGTTGTAGATGGTAGCTAGCTGCAACCAGGAGAAAATTCAAGCACTAAAAACGCTTGCACTAGAGCACTAGAGAGAAAGCAGTTTAGAGCCCAGATCTCCTTATTCTGCACATGACTGTAGTCCACGTTTAAAATCATGCAAGAGAAATCCAGTGCCTTCTACACAACTCTTGTCTTTATCCACGCAGAACCAGGTCCCGCCGCGAGGCCCTTGCAATGGCAGGGCTCGGCCCCAGGGGACCCCAAATTCCCACCGACATCAGGACGTGCCCCCCCGCCCCATACGCGCCGTGGCTTCTGTGGGAACGCGGGGCCCAGGGGGACTGCAAGTTTGCGTGCAGGAGACCTGGTTCTCTTCTCACTTGCGCAGGTTTTACCCCTGTGCAGAGCTGCGCTTGACTAACACCAGTGTGAGGAAGGGGAAGTCTTGGTCACGGGTGGGACAATCCAACCAGAAGTGATGAAAGGGGCTGGCAAGAGCACGGTTGCCGATGTACAGTCTGAGAGCACGGACTAAGGGGGTGAATCGCCAGTTGCTTTTACTCCATAATTGTGAGTGTTAAGAGTTAAAAATGTAAGATATTTACATCAAATGTAACACTTTTTATGAAACTTGTAAGCACCAGGATGTTTACTTACGCGATTTTGGTTCGCCATTAAATTTCTATCTGTGATAGATCACATGCTATGTAAAAAAAGGGGGGGGAAAGGTTATAGTTTACTATTTTTGAAGTTTACATTGTTGCATACAAAATTAAAAGTGTTCTTTTGAACTGCTGCCATAGCTGCAGGGTCCCTGCTGCCACTGAGGCCCTCTTTGTCTCAGGCGGGGGTGGCATCCACTTTAAAACATTTTAGCAAATCAACTTCAGATTCCATTATCTGTTTGGCAAAGCTAAATAATAAAATATTTTAAACTCAGCCTTGGTCAATGCTATCTGTTTCCTTCTCTCCACTGCACCTTTATTCCAGTTCTACTGTGGGTAGTATTTGGCCAAAGCCATCAGAAGGGAGAGACATGATCATCAAAGCAACCAAGGCTGCAAGTGATGTGCTTGTTGCCCGTCTCTCCACGACAGCAAAGTCTGCTCTAGACTTCCTGGACAAATCCGTCCAGAGGGCTGATGTTAGGCATCTGTCAGGAAACACATGTCCGGCAGAAGTAGACCAAAGGAAAAGCTGACAGTCCTTTGAAACCATCAGTGAGCGTATACATACATGTGTATACATACGTGCGTATGCTAACAGGTATTTAAGGGCTATGGCTGGGACAGGAGTTTGCACGTTAATAATTAGGCCGTAGCCCAGGCTCTGTGTCGTTCCCTACGTATCTCTTCATGGCCAAACAGACACTAAAGACTTGCTAACAGAGCTTACACACACAAGCAAAAATCTGAGGCTGTGGGAAGCTGCTTGCAACCACTGTCCCACCCAGGGTTACACACCTGAATTTTTAAATCTATTTCTTCGGGAAGGAGGGGAGGGTACGGCACAGGGCAGGAGCACCGGTACAGCTCTAATAACTGGTTTGAAGGGCACACACAGACTTGATCTCACAGCTCCCGGCTTAGAGTTTACTCCATCTTCGGGCATATCATTTTGTCATCCTTGAAGTACCCCACACCCCTCCCCAAGCCCCCTGCCTGAGCCAAGGCCAGACAATAATGTACAAACAGTCCTTCCATTTTCCGTAGTCCCAATAAGCAGCATCTTCTGTCATCCCTGCACTCCATTTTCCTGTGTGTTTGATGCAGTCTGGTAGGTATCCAAAAGGCTCTAAATGCCACTTTAAAAACTGCAACTAACGTGTGTCTATTACTAAAACGGCAGCAGACTTTTTAACATTGAGTACAGACTGGGGCAGAATTTATGCACCAGAATGGAGAGCAGCATCAGTAAAACTCTGATTTAGCAGATGCAACTGTCATTGCTTCTGTTGGCTCATCCTTCCCAAGAACAGGCTAAACACACACAAGGGCTGGGATTTCAAGCAGTACTTTTTTACAGTCTCTCTCCTGGGTAGGAGTTGAACAAACTAGATTTACCCATGTTAAGCAATTCCAAACTACTCATAGACAAATTAATCAGATGAATTGACCTGTATTTCTTCAGGCAACATTGTGTTTTAAAGATAAACACCTGACCTGATGGCGAGCAGCTGCTTAACAAAACCTTCCAGACAGTGAAGCCCAGGATGTGACTAGAAGAATGTCAAGAAAGCAGCATGTCCATATTGGTACGTTTGTGCATCTATAACTGCCAAAGCTGCACAGACCTGAAGCTGAGGAATGAAAGTAACTGGAGCCGTTGGCTCCCACCAGAAGGACAAGGCAGAGAGCAAACCTTTCTGAGAAGGCATTAGATGTAACTGGGTCATCCTTCAGGTGAGGGTAAGATTGAACCCTCCTGACCCTGAGCTGTTAAAGGACTCACAGGACAAACTCAATGCCTTGGAGGTGAGGGCTGAGTCATGGCCGGCTCCCCGCTTGCCCTCATAGCCCAAAGCCCTGTGTGCAATCTTGGCAGTACCCTGTGAGTCAGACCCACTGCTGGCCTGCATGATTGACTGCACACAGGTCCCTACCTGCTCTGCAGAAGAGAGCAACACAAGCCTGGAACCAGCACTTTTAGCCCACCCTTAGCCACTTCAAACCTCCTCCTGAGGCAGAACTGCAGGTACCTGCAGCATCAGGCCTTGTTGCCCGGTGTCATTGAAGCTGGTCTCCTGCATCTTCACCACGTGGCTCCTGCCCTTGCGGAGCACTGCCAGTGCACCCTTCTTCAAGGGCTAACCTGGATCCTCAGCTTTCTGCCCCAACTTTGCCTCACAAAGTGTCTTGGCTCCTCCAGCAAAGGGGGAAACCAGTAATGATCCAGTGGGCTTGTCAAAACCGCAAGTTGAAAAAAAATCTCAGGAAAGTAAATAGCATCACCAGAGGCCATTGCAGCTGCCAGCTTTTGCTGCCGCACAATACAGCGGTGAGGAATCCAAGGGAAGGAACAGCAGTTCTCACCCCCTCCCTCACACGTCTTTCTCCTTGGCCTGTTGTCTGTAGTTGTCTCCTGCTGCTACCTTTGTCATAATCTTTTATTGCAGCTCTCCACAGTGACTGCATGAGCCTTTCATCAGCACATGAGTCAGAGCTGGGCTTATTTTAAAAAGTCTCCTGTTCTCCTCTCTATGATGGTTATATTCTTACCAGTAGTCTTCAGAAAATAGCTATGAAAGGCAGAAATCCAATCACAATACTCAACAGATGAACAAAAGGCACTGAAACCAACATGTAACTTTACTGTTTTGAACGTTGAGGATAGACTAGCAGGACCTGTAGATCACCAAGTTCTAGATTTGAATTAATATCTCCTGTAAGCCTGGGGACAAGTCGCTCATCCCCAGCGCTCCAGAGCGCTCTATAACAAAGCTAGCACAATATTGAGTTTGTCAGGGTTAATACAGAGAGTGTCTTCAACCTACAGGGAAGGTAACATCATCAGATGGACACCATTTCTGGTCAAAACCCTTTCTGCTACTGTACCTGGAGGCCTGCAAACCCACTGGAAAGTGAAGGGTTCCCTGTGCAGTGAATACAGAAGTCTTAATTGACTTGCGTAGCTCTGGATCATATTCCCAATAACTCACAAGTCTGCACAACAGAAACACACATGAAATACCCCCTCCTCTTCACTGAAAATTATGTCATAGGTCTCCAGAACTTCAGAAGCCCTAGGAGTAGCACCAGGCACCCGCCTGGGCTATGGGGACTCAGAAAGCAGGCTGGGACTAGGGAGGCTACACAGAGTCAGAAAGCAGGCTGGGGCTGGGGCTCTCTTCAAGGAATGGGGAAAGAACAGAAGCCAGAAGCAATGCAGCTCATGTGAAGCAGGAGCACAGGAGAGCTGCTGATGGGATCAGGACAGGAAAGCCTTTTGGGAAACACTTTCCAGGGGAAGATGCCCACCTGTCCCTTGCTACAACTCCAGTTTGAAGAAATAGGGTCTGTGCACATGCTGTAAAGTCATAAACAACGGGGATTTTGGCTCCATGTTCCTGATTTGTACTTCAGAAAGAACAGAGTCCTTCAAGGCCTCCAAACCTGAGTTACTCCTTGGCAAAGGCCAAGGCTGAGAAGCTTCTTTCACAGTCCAGTTCTCGTGCAAGCTGCCTTTGCAGAAACTGCCAGCAGTAATGGAGTTTGATGGATGAGTTTAATTAGCTTGTCATTATTAAAAGAGAAGCAATTAGATTTTCTTCTTTAGCTGGCATGTTCTAGGGCATTTCCATAATAACCTGCCCCTTATCTAGAAGTCCTGAACATTAAAAAGGGAAATAAGAAAAAAGGAAGCTGAAAGATCTTGTGAAAGCAAAAAGGAAGTCAAATGCCCACCTGCAGCCTAACCCCCTGCAGCCTAACCCCCTTCTTTTAAGATGAAACCACATTCCTAAGGACGGGACCAGTAGCTCAAACTAAGGTGTCTAAAAATAATAAGCCTCATATTTCTCTC